CCCAGGCCTACCCACACGCTAACACACCCTCAGCCCTGGGCCCTGAACCGGAAGCGTGCTCATCTCCCAAAAATGGTGACGAAGCTGCTACCTTTTGATTGAAAAAAAAATGAAATGGTCTTCATCCACACGAGACTTCTGACTTCTGACGGCCGCACCTGATGATACAAGGAGTCAACGATCCAAATCCTTGTGGCAACAGGGAATGTCACATGTTTGAGCGGCGTAGCTCAGGTGTACTAACTTCTCTTTAGAACTCAAAAGTGGTTTGAAAGCTTTTTGACAATCGACGAATCATACACCAGCACCCCCAACTAGCGGTGGTTTCTAGGTTTCCAGAAACCACCAGCAGCTCATCACCTCTGAGTCTGCCACTGCCCGGTCTCATCCACCACTGTTTGCGCAGGCCATAGAACCTGCCATTCGTTTCGAGGCTGGGCGCCGGGTAAGAAACCGAGATCAACAAAAAACTCCCCAGAAGATACCTCCCAAAAAAAGGAGGTTTCACTAGTCTTACTAGTCCCAACAAACCTAGAGCCCTTTCGTCAACTTTGCAGGCAACCGCTGGTCTTGGATCGTTTGTTTTCTTTGGTAAGCAACCACCAAAGACAAAAAGACACGACAGGGTTGTGTGCAAATGACAAGAAGGAACTCCTGCTCAAAAACTTTCGACAAGGGGTTTGTTAACTCTGGTCGTTAACAAAAGGTTTTTGACAGAATCCGCAAGCAAAGGTTCGTTGCCCTTCGTGGCAAAAAATTGCAGTTTTGACCCACAAACAAGGATTGATTGGTTGAACATGGTGAGTTTTTGTTGACTCAACACCCAGTTCTTTTGGATTCATTCATCAGACGCCCTTCATGGCCTCCACATATTTGCTGTAACGACCGGGTTGCTTGTGCTCCAAGACCCGGGAGCCCTGGTATCCACTCGCCTGACAAATTGGATAGAGTCAACTCTCTTCCACTTAAGTACCCCGTATGAGGCATTCAAAAGTATCAGAATGGATTACAAGAGACAACTTCAAGAATCAGTTTTGGCACCTAGACCTATTCAAAACCCAACACTTGGCGCCATCTTGCCCAAGTCACTCAACTGCTCACACGTCACAGCAAGACAAAGCATTCAAATCAGGAAGCCTGGTAGTAGCGATTTTGGAAGCCGGGCCTCAGCCAATTTGGAAGAATGTCCTACCAAGAATCTGGGCAACAGCTGGCAGCTGGCAGTGGTTTGATTACCAGACACAAGCAAGATTCTCAAGCAAATAATGAAGAACTGGACAAACGAACTAGGCTACCTGTCTAGGATAATGTCTCAGTCTGCAAACACTTCTTAGCTGGGTTCTCCGACTGCTGAAAGTTTTGGTTGGTTTGCTGATTCTGCTGCGAATCGGCCTGCGCACCAAAAAGCATGGCAGGAGCACACAAGAAAATGGCTTCCTTGCCACAGTTGTCTTTTTTAGAAGTTAGATTTTCTACTGTTTTTCACTTGCCACCGTTTGTCTTTTGGAAATTAGATCTTCTACTGCTGCGTTCAAACCTTCTTTCACCCTCCAAAGCACAAAGTGGCCTCCCAGAAGAGCAATAAGGGCAGGAAGATCCACATGGCGAGAGGCCTAGGAGGTACCTGGTAGTGACGTACCGCAGTTGTTTTCTGCCAACCTACGTTTTCTTCTGTTGATAAATGTTGTCAAAGAAAACACGATCCAATGATCTACAGAACAAATGTAAATGCCTGTTGTGGTGGTTGCAGACCCTTTGTTTGTTTCAAAGATTCCAAACTCCAAACTCCCAGCCATTGCAACTAACCGCGCATTGAGCGGCTCATAAAAAACGACAAAATCATGTTGTACGTGGTGTTTGTCTTGTTTTGGACCTAACTACATTGAAATTAGCTTGAGCCAAAAGAAAAAGTAAAGAACGAGAGATATGCAAGCTCACGGAATCATTCCTGCCATCGCGACTATCGTATTAAGTTCATATTCATACTGCTCAATCAAAGGAATCATCTTGAAGATCATGTCCAAAACCTCCGACTCCAACATTCAGATTGAAACACAGAGATGGAAAAAAAAACAAGGACCCTTTCACGCGACTCGACGTGGTCCTCACAAATTGCCGGTGCCGTCCTCGGTTTCATCGACAGCTACTAGCTGGCTGAATCGCTTGCGCAGAGCTCATGAGGCCTCCGGCGCTAAGCTGAAAAACGAAATTTCGGCTCGTCCCAAGATCTTCGAAACATGTTTGGTCCATATCAACAAGAAATAACAGGAACCTCAAACAAGTGGACACTCCAGTCGTGGGATGGCAGCTCCTGAACAGGAACTGTGACTCAGCAGAGGCACCAAATGCAACCAAATGTCAACCCGCCTTCTCTACGTCAAACTGGCCACAGGCATCATCAAGTGCTTCATGTTGCCACCTCTCCACCTGTCCACTTCTAGAAAATGTTGCACAACATCAGAAAATAGAGTGATTGCCACTTCTCTCCTTGCAATTTCACTTCATTCCAACAAGTAACCCCCTTCACTGCACCTGCGTGCTCAAAGAGGCTCTTCACAAATGTTCCAAGCCTGCCAGAGCAATCTGCCAGGTGCTCTAATACGGAAGGAAACCGCTTGGTAGAAGAAGAAAAATTTGGTCCAAGAGCAGAAGCACGACATGTCAACCCGCCTTCCACTTCAAACTTGGCAGGCATCTTCCTCTCGGAAAAATCGTTTGTGCTTGCTCCCGTCCATTATTCTTAATACGTTTGCGTAAGAGAACCGAAAAAGTATGGTTTCTATCCCAGCGATTTCAGGTCATTTCAACAAGAGATTTCCTTCCACTGAACCGGCCGGCTCTGCTCAAAGAGGTGCTTCAAAGCGCTTCGGACTGGTCCAGTTCCTCCACTTGAAAGCCCTCTAATCTGCCTGGCCTGGAGCTCCTTTAAGGTCCAACATGATTCTTTACGCTTCGTACAGGGCAACATCAAATTTGTATGATCATCTGAATCTGTTGGACATATGACATATGAAATATAAATTCCATCAGAACAAAAGCTATCAGATTGGACCATGCCTCCAAGCCAGTTTCTGGACAAGTCGCACTCAGCAAACCTGCCAGGAATGTTTGAAATTTGTTTGGGCTAGAAGCACAGATTTGAAGGATTGTGTTTAACAGCTTTTCAAGTAGTTCTAGCGCTTCCTTCCACCAAAGCTGCTCTCGCGCTACGCACCTCACAGACACCCTTTTTTGTCCCCACAGAGCCGATCAGTTGGCCTTTTGTGGACTTCCTCTCTTTGTGGTCAACCATCAACTTCTCAATCTTCCTGGTTTCTTCTGCACGCCTCTTGGATCTTCTTCTTGGTCTCCTCGCGGATGTCGTTGCCTTCCAGCCGCATCTCCCGCAATTCCTTCATCTCTCCCACGGCCTCCACCAGCTCCTCGCCCACGGCTTCATCCAGGCGATTTTCATCAAGGGAAACCGCCTGCACCTGCCGCAACCTCTGGAGGATCTTCGGGAGCCGTCGGCCCTCCTCCGGCCCCACCGCGGTCCAGGAGAAGTCAAACGTCTTGACGTTCTGCGGAGGATTGGCCTCGAGGCCTCGGAGCGCTGCAGCCGCGCTCTCCGGGGTGCCGTGCTTGTAAACGAAATAGGTCAAATTCTTCATGTTCGGCATCCACTTTGCGAAGTCTCCCAGGGAGACATCCCTCAAAAACAACTCCTCCAGGGAGGCCATGAGACCAAGGCCTTCGGCCAACTGCTTGGCGTTGGGGCCCAGTTGCAAGCGCAACAGCCTCACATCTTTTGCGTTGCAGGCGGCCAAACTCGTTCTCAAGGGCTCTCCAAGTGAAGGGTTGCTCAGTACGAAGTACTCCACAATAAGTTCCTTCGCCAGTCTCATGTGCGGCAATATAGTGAGCCTCAGCTTTGAAAGCAGTTGAGTGCTAGCAGAGAGCCTATGATGTGTGAGACAGGAATGGGTATCAGTGGCTTAACTATTGTCTATGATTCAGTCGCTATTTTTCTGCAATCGGGTGATCTTATTGATTTGGATAAGCCTCTGAAGCAGCATACAAACGCTAGAAACATGTCCTGACATGTCCTGACTAGATTTTGCAAAATAGAAAACGATCTCAATCAAGCAAAAGAAACCAATGCTCAACCAATCCCTCTCGGTCACTTTGCGGACATCCTTTGCAGGTCAAGCTCAACTTCTCCAACTCTGGTGGCGCAAGTCGAAGTGCCTCCGCAGCTTCTCCCAGCTGCTCGGGTGTTGTCAGCCCCAGGTTAAGCCTCTTGACCTCTGCAAAGGCTGGCTGCAGTTGATGCACTTCTTTCTCCTGAAGGTGCATCTTAGAGGAGATCATATTTTCTAGGAGCTTCTGCTGCATGTCTGCCGAGAAATTGGCCACACTGATGGTGAGGTTGGCAGAAAAACGAGGTACCTGCCACACTGCTTGAGGTAAATCTTCGTCCAGAGCTTTTCGGCTCTTCTCATCCATGCTGGAGCGCACAGCCTCCAGAAAGTCCGACCCAGTTTGGCCAAGAGCAGCCACTTCCCTCAGGAAAATGCTCAAGGAAACCGTGGCCCCATGCTCCTCTAATTGAAGGTACGTGTCTTTGTAGAAGAACTTGTACGTGATCTTGCAAACGTTGTGCTTCTTCAAGGTTGCCAAAAGCTTCACTGTGGAGTCATGCCCCAGGAGAGGTTTCTGTCGTATGTGTTCGTCAATAGCGTAGGACCAGTCATTTCCACCACCCAAAGATTCTTTGTCAATCAACTCACAAAGCTTCGTGCTCTTGGCACAATCTTGCTCAATAAAGTGGCACAAAGCATCTCCTGAGGAAAGTAAGCTCCGCCTGATCTCAGGCTCTTCTCTCTTCAGGAGCTCACAGCCGTGCTTTCTAGCTGCCCAGAATGCGGGACTATCAGCACCCTCGAAGCTCATCTTCATCGAATGCATTGAAGGCGATGTCCATTGTCCACCTTGAGCTTTACGGGGCACCACTGTGAAAGCCACTGGATCTTCTGGATTCCCCGTCCAAGGTAGCAGCTTTACCTTGAGAGGCTCATCATCTATCCCATGTTTTGCACCACATGCTGCGTATCGTGCACGAAGTCTACTGCTCTCAGTACACTTGGTGCTGCTTCGCAGGTGAATCCTGTCATCATGGGTCATGTTCACTTGGCCACCTGAAGGGCTCCAGCTCACGTTGAAGCCAATGTCTGGAAGGAGAGGCAAGATGATCAAGTCCATTGAAGCGACCTCCAAAGGATCGTAGTTTGAGACACGGACCATCACCTCCCCAGACTCGGCAAAGCTGCGCACCTTCAGTGTTGAATGGGTGCCATTGCTCATCCGTACCACAAGAAGGCAAATAGCTTCTGTCACCCCTGGAAGTCCCTGGCGGAGGTCAATGGTGGCGTAGTCCGAAGTGAAGTTCATCTCCCCCACGTCCAAAATCATCTTCAGACTAAGGCGTGCAAAAGACCCATGCCAATCAGGCGACACTTTCCCAAAGGAGAGTTCATCAGCCTTTGCGGGCACTGTTCTACAGGTGTCACTTGATGTCTGAGATCTGCAACCTGTCAAAGTGCCCGAAATCTTGCGGCCCTCAGTCACGGCTACTGGTGTGTTGGAGTGGTGGACCTGCCTGCTCTTGTGATCATTCTGAGCATAAAAGCACCCTCCTTCACCAGGAAAGGCCCTCAAACAGTCTAAGGACTCATCACATCTGTGATGGCACCAGCTTCTGTTGGAGTTGTTGTCTTTCCTCTCAAAGGCTGTCCACTCTTGAACGCTACTGGGATGTTGGTTGTGAAGGTCATGCCGCACGGGCAAGCTAAGATGAAATTCCGTCAAGATCACCTTCACCTCCACATCCTGCGTCACTCTGGGGACGCTCACAACGGTCCCACTCAAAGCCGACCATGGAAGGGTTGTGCTGAAGTTTCCACTGCTCAGAACCAAAGCCACTGGCAGGGTCTGCATGGGTGCAAAGCGAACCATGTATTGCTTCTCGGCCAGTGATGTTCGCAGCCCTTTCACCTGCACGGTAGCGATTCTTGGAATCGGCATGTTGGTCAGAACAACTTCCGTAATACTCGCACCTTTCTCCTCCCCAATCGGTGCTTTTGATGGTGAGCCATTTGGCTGTAGCACTGAAATCCACCGTGTTGCGGCTGTATCTGCATAGGCCAACATGGATGCCTGCTTGAAGCTGGTGTCGATGTCCACCACATACTCTGCCTCACAGGGTGATGTGAGAAATGTAACCCTCATTGCTCAGGTCTTTTCAAGTCCTTTCAACTTATAAATTTCCTATAGAAACTTATTAAAAGAAGAATTTGGGACAGCCATCCGCACCTGCCAGGGCTTGAACTTCAAGGTATGCAGAGAGCTTGCTAGGGAAAGGTCGGTGAGCTCGCCGCAGGAGCAGGCATAGTTTAAACTCTGCAGCCCTGAGATGCTGAGGAAGAATGCGAGCATTAAGGCGAAGCTGGGCAAGATGAGAAAGCCTCACCAAGTGACTTGCAAAGTTCAAAAGCCTCTTGCGTAGCTGATATGTCAAAGGACTTGCCTTTGTTCATTGCATTGTCTTTTTGAGGATGCTCATGTCAAAACCAAAGCTGTGGAATGATGCCATATCTTTCGAGTGTCACAACATCATGGAACATCCCATCAAATTCTCCCACAGGTGGCCTGAACGTGATCCAGTCAGCTGCAGCACCGTCCGGCGGTACCAGCCAAAGTTCAAGATCAACTGCATGTCCTTGGCGTCTGAAAAGTGGACGAGAGCAGTTGCTTACTCTGTGGATATGCCATCATTCTTAGAGACATGCGGGCATCCAGTGCCAGCATTTAATGCTTTGACTCATCTAATGAGTTCAAAAGATTGGCAAGAGTCACCTTCAAAAACTCAGAAGTGGTATACAAATGATATGTTTACTTTTGAAGTTTGACCGAGGATCTCCAGACCCATGCGGGTCATCTACGGGATCGGATGTCAAATCACTGCCAGCACGACCAGCGGCCAGAACCTCAATGCTTTAGATTTTTTGCAGCCGCCAAGGGTACGCTGACTGGAGGTTGTTGCTTGGGGTTTGAGTTGGTAGCTCCCAAGCAACGGTTAGGGACCACGAGTTTTGTCAAAGTGTCACCTTTTACGAAAGAAGGTTCTGTGCTTTGTATACCCAATTAGGTTTGGGCCGCAACTGCCCAAATCATCACAGCCCAACCCTTCTCATCTTGATCGACACTCCCCCAAACATTGGATAGTTGGAGCACCAAGCAGCCGACTTCCATGTTCTTGAAACAGCCTTTGGCAGATCAGCTCTAGCAGTAGAAGCTTTCATCCAGTCGGTCTGCACCCTGTCCAACTCGGCTTCTAACTGATGAGCTTGCATCAGCGCTTTCATCATCGACCAGGCAGGTCCCAACAAGGCGCTGAACACCAAAATGATGTTGCCCATGCCGGTCTGCAGCAGAAGACCCACGGCATAGGCACAAAGACCACCCAGCAAGAAGGCATCAAGTCCGTTGGAAGCCACAGGCTCGGTGATGAACATCGCCCGCTCCCCACAGGCGTGCGAGAGCTGTTTCTTGCATAAGAGGATCATCAGGCGGTAGGCTCCGATGATCGTGAGGATGCATGGATAGATAATGATGAGCCACACCTGAGGACAAATCAAACCTTTCAAATCAGGATTTCAAAAGTCATGAAACCACTTGGATTACAGCTATCAATACAGCTATCAATGATCATGTCCAAAGCCCACCTTGCTTTCAGCATATTCCGAGTCATCCGATTTCTTCAGGAGCACCAAAGCCACCGTTTGTAAAGCGATGATTGAGGTCACAAAGCCAAAGAGCCAAGTAAAGCCTCACCCGAGCAGGGAGTCACAGACCATGTCAATCCACAGCTCTGATTGAAAATACGGACCAAAAAACAAACCCATCGACGCATCGATCTGTTCAGAGGCAATCCAGAGGATCCTAGTTTAGGAGCTGCTCATGTCAAATCTTGCAAACATGCCTCTTAGGGTAGAGATTCTTAGAAAGCCACTTGCAAAATGATTAAAAATCCAGGCAACCTGCTGTGAAGTTCTTCAACGGCGTCTTGAAGAAAACCAAATCGTCAGGCCATACGGAGCCCACGTCCTCCGGCACCTCTGCACGCCGTGCTGCCCAAGCCGCTTCGGCCACCAGCACCAGGATGAGCAAAGCCATCAGCAGCAGTGCTGCGCCGTAGCGGTTGATCACCTGCGGCCAAGGGCAGCGACGTTCCAACGAAGCTTGTAGCTCATACAGGCGTTGAGAAGCCACTGAAGGCATTGATGAGGCCAAAGCTCCCAAGACCTAAGAGGCTTTCATCTGTTGATGTGACAAAATCAACCAAACGTCCTCTGCAAAACCTGTTGGAACAGTCATCAATGGCAGTTCTGCAGCCAGGAGGCGTCAAATCCTGCCAAAGGCTCGTTGCCTGCCAATGTGCAAATGCACAGCGCTTCTTTCTCATCACCTCCACATAGGACTGCAGCTGTCTGGCTTCTGCGAAGTTTGAGCTCATGCACGGCATCCATGAAGATCAGAATTCTTGATTCGTTGAGGGGGTCCTGCAGCCATGGGACGGACGCAAAAGCATTGCAGATCAGGTCTCATGACATGCAAACTGTTTGAGGTGCTGAACTTGATAAGACTCAAAACTTCCAAACCTCTCAAGAGCTGTTTGGTCCGTCCTTTGGGTCTACCCAGGGCACAACACTGGTGGAGATATCTTCGAGCGCTTCGCATCTTGGGTTGCCAATAAAGTACCTGTAGGAACACAACTTCACATAAAACATATATGATTCACCATTGGAATGATGGAAGAACACCACGCCCCAAGCTGCAAATCCACATCATATCCGGACGTTCGCTGCAACAATCAAAATCTCGGAAATACAGAACTTACAAAACTTACAGAACTATCAGGATCTCCCATCTACAATCGCACCAAACTCACTCTATATACCGCATAAACATTCCCAAAGCTACAGAATCTGCTAGGACATTAGAACTTCCAGCGCCTCGTGGTCGAAGTTAGCTGCCAACTCAACTGCACTGCGGCTTCACCACGAAGTTCGTAAAGACTCTGCCGGGCAGCACAGGGCTCTTCCGTCGTCGGTTTGCCGCAAGTGCTGCGGCAGAAGCTGCTGGTCCTCAGCTGATCGGCTGAAAGAGTGGCTACTGCCGAAGGTTCTTGCTAACATCTACCTAGCCGAATTCTGGACAGAAACCGACACTCATCTGTTTCGTATTAATAGAGCCTCTTGGATCTAAAAAACAGATTCCAAACATCATCAAGCAATTGCTGGGACTGAAATCAGCCTAGATTCGTGGGAGGTTGCACATCTTCAAAATCATAGCGCACAGCGCTGACCACAAAGAGGAATATGTAGAAAGTCTCAACAACCTCTTGAACAAAACGACACATGGCATGGGCAAGGGCTACATTGAGCCCGGCCTTTTGGCTAAGCCGAAACATGGCAGAAGGCGTGACGGACAGATGTTCCAACTGCTGCATATCATGAGGTCTCCGGCTGAATTTGTGGAAACGGCACTGAGGATCAAGCTCCTTCAGGAGCTTCAACAGGACCTGCAGCAGTCCAAGTGAGCGAGCTTAGCACTTTTTGCAAACAAATCAAGTACTGTAACTCAACCAGTCGTCAAGTGAATCAAAATCTTTTAGAATTTCGTGTTTTTTGAGGAAGGGACAAATCCACCTCTCCCCCATAATCAAGCTGAAGTCGGGATACCTAACGATTTTGCTACATGGAAGCTGAATCAGATCCGCACACTCGTGGCCTTTAGCTGATTAGCAATGAGACTCTCCCAGAAGACTCTTGATCTGCAATTAGGCACCAAAAGTCCCAAAAACAAGGAACCCATAGCCCTTCTCGCAGCTCCCTAAGTGCAGAACCGTCTCTCATCCGCAAAATGGCGACGCCTGCCGAGAGCCGGCTTTCGGTCATGGAATACCAGTAGCCCAAAGATCTTCAAGAATCAAGAATGTCAAGACGCATGAGGCCACGTCTTTGTTGATTGGCCTGTTGCCCAGTGTCGGTCCATGTGTGAGACCATGATATTTTGGCGTCCTCTCAAAAATGATCAAGAAGTCAAGAAGTTCTTTGCAAAATGACCCGAAGAAAATTCCAAAGCGAACAATCATCATGAGAAACGTGTCAAGTCTACCGGAGCAGTTAGATTCTCAACTTGTTTCTGCCAAAATCACCTTCTGGAACCCCCACAAAAAACAATCCCAAAGACACCATCGACTCCAGAAAGAGATCATAAGATCTTTTCTTGTGCTGACTGCTGTCAAGGTGATTCAAAGTCGCTTTCAAAACCAAGCAAATCCGCGATAATGACTATGAACATCTATGAATTAGACGCTTCCTCTAACAGTAACTCTTTACAGGGTTCTGGGGTATGGATTGAACACTTATTTTTGGGAGGATTAGACACTTATTTTGGGAGGACTAGACACTTATTTCGGAGGGATTGAACACTTAT